TAGATTAGTATTACTTTAATTTTTTGGAAGAATGTTTCCATAAACTGAATTTGAAACGTTTAATACAGACACTCAATAAAGACAATCTGTAATATTTACTGTTTCTGTTTATTCTTGTTGGTGAGAAATAATAAAAATCTTTTGTATAATTAACTGGGTTAGTGACCAAGTAGAGTTACATCATGTTAACAAAAAATATTAATAGTCTCTCTCTCCCCAACTCCTAATTTGTCCTAGATCAGAAATTTGGTACTAACAACAAACACATTCTACTCACTAGCATTTATCCAATAAACTACACGGTTCAAATTACAGGAAGTAAAACTAGCATATATAAAAAATAGTAAGTTAAATTTGAGAATAAATATTTTTATTATTTTAAGAAATACTAAGAGTTAGTCTACACCACCCACAGAGTGGGAGAAAATATTTGCCAGCTACACATCAGACAAAGGACTGATAACCAGAATATATAGGGAGCTTAAAAAACTAAATTCTCCCAAAATTAACGAACCAATAAAGAAATGGACAAGTGAACTAAACAGAACTTTCTCAAAAGAAGAAACTGAAATGGCCAAAAAACACATGAAAAAATGCTCACCATCTCTAGCAATAAAGGAAATGCAAATTAAAACCACACTAACATTCCACTTCACCCCTGTTAGAATACCATCATTAGCAACACCACTAACAACAGGTGTTGGCGAGGATGCAGGAAAAAAGAAACCCTCTTATACTGCTGGTGGGAATGTAAACTAGTACAACCACTCTGGAAAAAAATTTGAAGGCTACTTAAAAAGCTAGACATTGATCTACCATTTTATCCAGCAATACCACTCTTGGGGATATACCCAAAAGACTGTGACACAGGTTACTCCAGAGGCACCTGCACACCCATGTTTATTGCGGCACTATTCACAATAGCCAAGTTATGGAAACAGCCAAGATGCCCCACTACTGACGAGTGGATTAAGAAAATGTGGTATCTATACACAATGGAATTTTATGCAGCCATGAAGAAGAACGAAATGTTATCATTCGCTGGTAAATGGACGGAATTGGAGAACATCATTCTGAGTGAGGTTAGCCTGGCCCAAAAGACCAAAAATCATATGTTCTCCCTCATATGTGGACATTAGATCAAGGGCAAACACAACAAGGGGATTGGACTTTGATCACATGATAAAGCGAGAGCACACAAGGGAGGGGTGAGGATAGGTAAGACACCCAAAAAACTAGATAGCATTTGTTGCCCTCAACGCAGAGAAACTAAAGCAGATACTTTAAAGCAACTGAGGCCAATAGGGAAAGGTTACCAGGAACTAGAGAAAAGGTTAGTTCAAGAAGAATTAACTTAGAAGGTAACACACATGCACAGGAAATCAATGTGAGTCAACTCCCTGTATAGCTATTAAAATTATCAAAATTAGAGATAATTTTGATAATAGTTTCTGCCGGGTAGCGAGGGGGTAGAGGGGAAAAGTGAGGAGGAGGGGGGGAAGGGTAAGGGAGGGGGTGGGGGAAGGGGAGAGAAATGACCCAAACATAGTATGCACATATGAATAAAATAAAAATTAAAAAAAAAGAGTTAGTCTACAAAAACATGAAAGTTGCCCAAAGGTTTCTTTGCACCTGAGACAAAAAGGCACCTTTTGTCTATGCATTTTGATCAGCTATTCAGTCACCTGGTTTACAGGAAGCTGAAGTTCAGAATGTTAAAGAGCTTTCAGTTTATTCTGAACAGAGATGGGTTGGAACTGCATAACCAAACCACTAAAGGTAGTTGCAATGCCTACAGTCAAACACTCACATCTCTATCACAGTTCTTGAATAGTAGATTCATTAAAACCTCAATAAACCAGAGTCCAGATGAAACAAATCCTCAGGCAATGGTACAAGAGTTCAGATGGAGGTGGGTCACCAAGACTAGGGCAGAAAGGCAAAATCTCCACAGTGGGGCTAATCTTTTCCTAGAGGGAAAATGCTGATAGGAGCTCAAATGCAAATGGAAGGGGATATAGCTTGAAGAAAGCCTTTCAGAAGACTCTGGTATCTTATCTGCTACCAACTACTTTCATGTTACAAAAATAAGTAAATAAATGCTCTGGGCTAGAAACAAAAAAAGGTGTATTTGTCACTTCAAGTTTATATATCCCAATTTCAGGTTTAATCCAGGCTACCAGAATAAAACTCTTATAGAAAAGCACTCTAAGTTAACTTCACATTGCAGTTATTTATCTGTCATTTCCCACAAACTTCTAAAGCTCCCTGTTTTTAAGCTACAAAAATCTAATATTGGCATAAAAATATGTATCAGCCCAAGTTTATTCTACCCATTGAGAAATCCAGAGGCAACACGAAGTATGCATGTTTATTTTTTTATTATGGTAATATTCTTAGTGCCCTACTCGAAACAACTTCCATCTCTTAACTAATTGAAGTGCATTTTAAAATTATTTCCATTACCTAGATGTCAGATGGAGAGTTCAAGAACTGGCACAAAACTGAATTTTGACATATGAAAATATTTATCTAGCAACAAATGAACAAACTATGACTACAGAAAAAAAGTGAGAATAGATAAGAACCAAGACTTCAATGGTGACTTGAATGACAAGAATGGTCAGACTGGTGATAAAGGAGAGGGAGGGACCAGCCCAATAGGCTATGTCTCTAAAACCTAAGCCTCTGTACCCAAACACCAAGGAAGAAAGGAGAAAACAAACTAGGAAGGAAACACACAAGACAAGAACTTTAAAGCAGAGCAAAGAGGCAGAAGCCAATACAGCAAATAGAAATGAACCACACTAGCCAGGCGCCGGTGGCTCACGCCTATAAACTCTAGCTACTTGGGAGGCTGAGATTGGGAGGATCAAAGATTGAGTACAGTCCAGGCAAATAGTTCAATGCTGAGGGTAACAGAGACACAGCTGGAAGGATAGAATCTCAGTCAAATCCCCGGTTCTTGCTGAAGAGCTGTTCACCAACCACTGGAGAATTCAGTACCCATGGGGGATAGGAGGAAAGGAAAGATGGCAACCTGTTAGTTCTGATGAATACCATTTGTTGGAATAAGTAAGCTGGCAAGTCAGTCTATTAATTTTCAAATCAAGCTCTGAGGTAAGATAGTAGGGTAAGCTACAGCCACCAGCAGAAGAAAAGGGCCATCTACTTGGTGATATGAGAAAAACCACCTGGTGATACGATGTCCAGAGGCCCTGGATGAAAATGCCAGAGATCCAGTGACATTGATAGATGTGATTAAATAACAGGAAACACTAGGAAGGAAATATAATTGACTAAGAGGTTGAGAGGTTGGAATTTTAGGATGAGTGGCTTCAGCATTTATTCTAAGACACAGCCTATCTCTAAATACAAATGATGAAAAACAAGGGTAAATCAGACACATATCTGTGCCAAAGTATGTGCCATGCTGTACTCAAGGAAGAACTTTCTTGCGGAAAGGGGAAAATAAGAAGGGTGGCAAGAAAAGGTAATAGAGAGGGTGAATATGATCAAAGTACATTATATGAATGTATGAAAATGTCATAATGAAACCATTACTATGTACAGTTAATATACACTAATAAAAAAGCTTATAGATAAGCACATTCTCTGTGTGATCTTTTCCATCTACAAAATGAAACTTTTGGTGATACGTGAAAATGTAATTTCAGAGCTTTCAGAGGTGGCTTACCCAAGAGTATAAAGTGATAACTAAGAACACTGTTTTTAACTTATCAGATGTTTTAGGAAACTCAATAAAAGATTATTTCAGAACTACAGGCTTTCCTACAGGTAGAAAAGTGACGACAAAGAAGTCACACTTAAGACATGAAGTTAGTGCCCAGTATTGTTTCCCACTTCCAAAAGACCTTTCCCTTCTTGGTTTAACCTAGAAATCATGTATTATTCTAATAACACGTCTTCTTACCTAAGAGGGTTGCATGAGAAAAGTTTGCCCATACCTAAGATCCTCAGCAAAGGCAATGCTAAGGAAATTTGAAGTAACAAAGTTAAGTACAAGCAAAATTGTATTTAGATGGCAAAATCAGAAAATTTAATGCAAGCTCTCTAAAAGAAATTCTTTGGACATAATATCCTTTCCTTCTTCATAATATCTAAAAAACAATCAGTGCCTGTCAACAGAGTTTATCATTAGTTGTTGAAATCTTTTATTTTCTATCTGTATGAAGAGTCAGGGAAAGAGTATTTTCCTTTTTCTAATTTTTTCAGCTTAGCTGAAAGTAAAGATAACTTAAAGTGGCATTTTTGTAAGGACCCTTTCTCAGAGAGTTGATCACCTGGTAAATGGCCTGGTTATTAGAATTAAATTTGGGGTAGGAAAAATACTCCATTTTAAAAACATTGAATTCCAAGTCACTAACGTAACTGTATATGTGGGCGTTGGGAAACCATAGCTCAACCTGGACAGAGCCCATGAAAGGACAGGTCAATTGCCCAGGAGTAAGTTCATAAAAGGATCAAATGCTTATTTCCTGTTATTCTGATTTATAATGCCACTCAATATTCCCTAAAAGTAATAAACAACTGACTCATTTTGTACTGCACCAGATAAACAGCTATAAAGAAACAAAACTACTTCAGAACATTTTTTTTCCAGATATATTCCTATGGTAAATGTTATTGCAGTACATTCTACATTTAAGGAGGCAGGTGTTCTCTCTCTCTCCTTCTCTTTCCTTCTCTCTCTCTCTCTCTCTGTGTATATGTACATTTCACAGTTAAGTCAGTCTACTAATTGAAATCCACATATGACATTATTCTATTTTATACAACAACACAAAAACACTGTACCATTTTCAAGTCTTAACAATAAGTTTTCTAGTTAATAAAAATCATAATACAAATATAAAGTTTTAAAAGATTAAATCATTTTTAAAAGTCAATTGTTAATTTATTAAAAATAATACAAGAAAAGCAAGAATCCAAGAGCCAGTATAGGAATGTTTCACAACTGTGTTTGTCTGTTTGCTTACCCTGTATGTTGTACAATCGGACTTTGTGAGTTACATGATCAAAAAAGCAGGTCACTTCTGAATAGATCCTTCCACGTGTCACTCTGACAAAGGGCAGATTTTGGGAAACATATGGCTGAAGAGGAAATGACATTTTTGGCAAAATTATTTTGACTTCTAAACATTTCCAAGAAATGTTTATCATAGTTTATAAAATGACAAATACATATACCCTAATACTTACAATTTGAAATGAGAACCAAATCTTTTAACAGACCAGAATTTTAATTTTTATTACGCATATATATAATATATATATATATATATATGCGTAATAAAAATTGAATGCAAGCTTTTGTTTAAAACAAACCCACTTTTTAATAAGTTTTTTATTATAAAAATTGCTGACTACTTACAAATGCTTACAATTTGATTGGCTTATATGGTCTACAAATATTTTCCCCAGCTACAAAACTTTGCAATTAAAATTCTCCTATATTGTCCATACAGTTGCTTAGTGCAAATAATAATTTGATAGCAGCAACATTTTCCCAGGCAAGCATTTATTATAGCCAGGGACCCTTAATGTTAGGGGTTCAGGGCAGTGGTAAGGATGGCAGTAGAATGTCAGCTAAGCAAAGAGGAAGCAGGATTCAGAAACAGTTTAATCATAGTGAGGTTTACTAAGCTACAAAACATTCTGCCCCTGTATGTGAAAGAACTAGTTGAATATAAAGTGAATTTACAAACTTGGGGAAAAAAAAAAAAACTTCTTAGAAACCATTGGTTCCATTTTCGTTACTTAAAATCTAAATTCAAGGAAATACAGAAATGCAGCATATGACATATGTGAATTGGTAACATATTTAAAGCACTGATGAAGAACTATATTTTAAGTATTAGATACTTTAGCTCAACAACAGCATATAATGTGAACTACTGAGGCCGTGTAGTATGCTCAGAATGGTATAATTTTACTTCATACCTACCTCTTTGGCTAGAGAAAATATTGTGAAGTTAATAAAATAATAACACTAGCTTACAATGTTCTTGTACCAAATTACCACATTGTCTAGGAAGTGTGTGTATGTAGGGGTGAGAACCTGAGATGGTGATTTCTGAGCTCCTATCTTTTTCTGAAACATTCAGTCCCTCTCTCTGTTATATTATGTTTTATTCCTTGTAAATTTCTGACAATTCTCTTTATAATTCTAGCTGACATTACAGATATTTAAAGATAAAATATACCCCACCCATCACAACAATAAAGGAAAAAAAGATAAAATAGTTTTAAATAGTTTAATTACTATTATTGATGCATAATATTCCATAGCACAGCTATGTTTTCTTTTCAATATAAGAATAACCAAAACACTGCGCATCCAATGACAAAAGCTGAAAAGTGAGAAAACACTGAAACAACTAACACTTATGATCTACTGCACCTCGTAGGATGGCTCCTAGAACTTACCCCTAATTCTTCACTGACTTAAAAAACACAAACAACAACCTAAGTTGAGCCCGTGGTGTAGCCTACACAATCTCTAAAAATCTCACACTTGATTTTGGTTTACAGGATTCCCTAAATTTTGGAAAAGGAACTTTTTCAGAAGATACCAAACATTAAGAACACTTAACTGGTCTTGACGAAGGGAAAACCTACAAAGGTAGAAAAGCAGAGGAAGAAACTAAAGAAAAAAACATATAGAATTGACTACACAAAAATTACAAACAATTAGAAAAATAAATAATGGACAAATTAAATGGCACATGATGGAAATTTTGAAACATACAAGGAAAAGAATTTTACTGTATATACAATATGAAGTACTTAAGATCAATAGGACACACCAATAGAAGAATGACCAGAAAACATAAATAGAAAAACTCAAAAAACTATTGAAGACGAATGAATGCAGAAAAAAACAATCTCTTAGGAATCCCAAAATGTTAATAGGAAAATAATTTTCTATTAATCTGTTATTATAGGCGAAGCTTCTAATATAGCTAATTCTTAGTGGAATGGGACATTAAAGAATTACTCAAAAACCACTGGAGGGAATAAATACTTAGATAATCTTTTAGAGAGAAGATAAGCAGTATGCCTAAAAAAGCCTTAGCGGACTTCATACACTGAGACAAAAAGATTTTTTTAGAAAGTTTTTCTGATGAGATAGTCAGAATTACACAAAGAAGAAGGCAACAAAGAAAGCTTATTATATAATACCGGTGGTGGAGGATAGGGAGAAAGTATACATGCAACATTGGTAAATTCTTCAATACAAGAGTGTATATTAAAATTGTGTCTAAAAAGCATACCACCCAATTGTGAATATTGTTATGAATGAAAACTAAAAATATAAATACACAAAGACAAAAACTGAGAATGAGAGAATAGATATGCCTACAATAAAAGATAATGAAACAATATGTCAAAATGTGGGCAGTGGTTTTCATGGAGTTTGGACTAGTTGGTTAAGTTTTATTTTTTTCTTTTTAGTTTTCTACATTTTCAAAACATGCCAGAGTTTACATATACTACTTTTATAGTCAAAGGTGGAAAAACTGTTCTATAAGAGTGCTAAAAGTTAGGGAGAAATGGCCCAGTGAACCAATCTATTTTTCTGAGAGGGTAGGTATTTTTATTTTTGTACATCTAAAACACCACAAAAGCATCCGAACCCTAAATCAAATTTACCTTCTTTCCAGGGAGAGCACTTGTTCTTTTTCTCATCCTAACTGAATTCCAACTCTGACACATTATTTATTTAACTTTCAACTACACATTGGAGCCAAAAGTTTATCCACCCTAACACATGAGCAGATAAAACTAATGAGACACACTTACTTTTTTCCTCAAGACTCTGTCCATAAGTATTTATTCCACTCATCAGCATATCATCAGCACTACTCACCTGGGCCTTACCATCAGGTAGGAAGAGGTAGGCACCACTTTTGTCTCTTTTATTTGTGGTCCCATACCATAAAAATTGTACTTTGACTTCATGGTCTTTGCCATCTTCTTTAGTTCTCATTTTCTAAACAAACAAACAAAAAAATTAAAACAACTCACTACTGAATTGTTAATTATATTGCATCTGATTCCACGTATATGTCAATTTGAAAAAGAAAACTACCCCAGAATAGGATAATGAATACTAATGTAAGCCTTTAACACCAGAAATTCTTGGTTGGACACCAAAATTTTAAACTTAGCCTCAGGCTTTTATAACTTTCACAATGAGAACACAAGGTCAGAACACACATTATGAAGGAACAAGAAACTACACATGAGCAGAGCTCTATACCAGTACTTCTCAAACCTTCTGTGGAAGAAGATTTATTTCCAGTATTTTTGAAAAATATAGTAAAAGTAAATTAAAAATTAGAATCAAATCAACGATTAACATGATAAGCCACATACACATTCAATGTTTTATTATTAGATTCAATAAGCATTTTGCTGTCAAACTGCTTTCAAAGTTTCCACAAACATTTACAATTTCCATACTTATCAGCCACAAACAGCACTAACCCACAGGTCACACCTATGAGTCACAAGTGGTCACTGAGAGTACAGATGGCTGCTCACCAAATACTCCCACAGTATCTAGGAAAGACATTTTCCCCTGTGCATGGTAATCAGCACATGTAAAAGTGGTAAGTTTTCTATGAATTTCAGAATTATTCAGAACATACCTCCATAAGCCCAAATCGATCAAACCAAAGTGCAACGAAGGAGTTCTCCAGAGTTATGGCATCCATATCTTTTATCATATTCTTTATGTTAAAAATTTCATTTTCTTCTATTTTATCTTTATACAGGACATAATCAGCCAAATGTGAATTTGAACTTTCTGATTCTAAAATCTTATACACTTTCAGTCCCAAAGGTGGTGTGCGTGCTATAAAAGAAATCTATAAAAGATAGGGGAGACAATTTCAAAGGAGAAATGTTATTGGTTAAAAATAATAAACTACCATAATTTTTAAAAAGAGGACATAATACTATTCTATAAATATTTTTGATAACTTGTGGGTATAGTATCCATTTACATCTGTTTATTCAGTGATTACATTATAGGATGATAGGCCTATCAAACACAAAGTTTTCATCCCATATGTGAAATTATATGACCATCTTAAGTTGTTCTACAGTGTTCTTAATAGGTGCTCAGAAGAGAAAATTCTTCGTGAAAGTGAGGCCTTACTGTAAACAGTTTTTTTATTAGAAATCCTTTTTGTGAAATTACAATATTTCAGTGCAATATTACACTTACTAAAATGGTAAGTATAATTTTATAAATATTATAGACATTAGTTCAGTTGGCACCAGCCATCAAATGCTTAAGGTTTAGCACACATGGAACAAGCATGGAGAATGTACACAGTATAGGATGTGATGCCTGCCTTCCAGGAGTTGTTCTGTTTTCTAGATGGGATGCTTCCTGAAAAATGTGACCAAAACTTGGACTGTACTTTCCCATTCTATCTACAGGATTATGCATTTATCCTTGCAGCCAGAATTGACTTTTGACAAGCAGAAGTAATTCCCTTTTAGAGTTCTTTGTTTATTATGGCTATGTCTCAAGAAATTTAAACTCTAAATGACCAATGTTATGAGGCTTAGTTTAATATTGCTTATTCTAAGAAATTTTCACATGTCAAAACACACACACACACACACACATACATTACTTGAGTCCAAATTTTCCATAATCTCATCTCAGACAAAAAGCATCTTAATTATCTTAGGGGGACTCTGTTCCATAATATATTTGTCAACTTTGCAAAGAAAAGTTGAAACTATCCAAAATTATTAAGAAAGGTGGTGGTATTTATCTCGGTTTCATTATGCATCATTGTCATTGAGCTAGAGCAAAAATTCAAAGCTTTATGCCTAACAATTCCTTCTTTACTTTAGAACCTGGCTAACAATATTCATACTTAAAAAGATATGCAACATACAAATCACACTAACATGTCACTTAATAATAGCACACAATTTTCCCACTAACATTAATAAAACATTTTGGGAAATGCAGGATTTATTCTTCCTCTGGTGTCATTTATCTTCCCAGTAAACCCCTTGGTATTTACAATTTTCATCTCTTCTCATACACCAACATGATCGCTCAATGGACCCACCGTGGGGTATTATACAGTCATAAGCTTTATACCATATGCTATATCTTTTCTAAAACAATGTGTCTGTGGCACAACATACCTCATAAGCTGTTTTTGAGATGGTTCTTTCATCACTCCAAACCGCGCTGACTTGAACCTCCACAGGTTTTCCTGAGTCTGACAGCACTTGCACTGTGGGGGAGCTCACATAGACTGAAACCACTGAGTTTCGGGCTTGCTCTAAAGGGTTATAGACCACAAGGTACCTGCAAAAACAATTTTGTCACTATTGGGATCTCAAAAATATTTTTACTTCTTTCCCACTCTTTGTAAGACCTTAATTCAGTCGTACCACCAACATGTGAAGAAGGATTAAAATGAACATTCTGGTAGAGCTTTTATAGAACCAGCATCTCCTTCACGACAAGTATCACACAGTACAAAGGGTAATAAAATAATGATTAAAAAGCACTTCCTAAAAACATAGCATATTTTCTAAATGGAAGACATTAACACACTTGTAAAAAACTTTTTTGTATCCCAGAAAACGACATATAAGTACAGTTTAGTCATCAGCCTGAAAGAATCAGCACTATGAAACTAATATCCTGATCCCTGCCTAATTTCACTAAATTTTTAAAAAATTCATAATTTATCTTTGCAATTTAGCTACCATCTGTTCCACTTAAAAATGTGATATCTATTTCTGACCACTAAAAAATAAATATTATGACTCTATGTGTAGATATCTTAATTCACATGTATATTTTTATATACAAAGTATATTAAATATGAAATATATTTTATGTATAAAATAAAAGAAGGAGCCCTTTTGAAGAAACTTGGTTGTGGAAAAAAGGTTACTTGAAGTGCATCTACTTATAATAAGGGCAAAATGTGATGATAAATATTGGCGAAAAAAGATTTGGTGGGGACTTTGATGAAGAACAATTAAAACTATTAAAGTAATTTCTGGCAATATTTGTTACTATATATAATTCTTAGTCTGAACAAAAAAGTGAATGAACTGAGATTTTTGGTAGAATTTTTCTAATACTTTATATTAGCACATTAAGACATTCTTCACATCACATTAAATTTTTACAGGATGGTTTCAAACATAACTATTTGTAAGAGATATCTGAAGAAATCATAATTTTGCCTAAAGACCTCTTTCAATTCTCTCACATTCAAGTAATTCTCCACTGAAGTACCCAACATCCTGATGTTCTCTATCAGAATTCTGCCAGATCCTCACTGTTTCACGGCTCTGCCTATGAGAAACAACATTCTACACCATCAGGTGACAGGCCTCAGGGAACTTGCATCCTTTGCATGATTTATGATTTTACATTAAAATCAACTTATATCACCAAATAAATCAGAATATTTCAATGAGAATGCTTGACAAATACTATTCACTGATTCACTAGTGAATAGTTCTATGATCTGAAATATTTTATTTTCCTTGACAAATCTGTAACTGCAGAAACACAGACCCTATAGTTAGATAATAACTGCCTCTCCCATAGAGTACATAATAGCTATAGAAAACAGAAACAAGTTAGTATCTGTTTACCATAATACATCAGAAAGACTACTAGTCTTCTTTCATCTGCATGTGCTTCCTATACATTTTTACTTTCATATGCATTATAAATCACTCAACAACAAATAAAATGAATACCTATAGTGACCAAAGTAAGCAAAAGAGTATAAGAAAGAACGAAGGAAAAGAAAGAGGACATACCACAAAATCTGTAAAACATTTTCACCTATCAATTGCTTACTGGGAGAAAGAGCCATGGTTTAAACAATACTCTGAGATATGGAAGATCTAACTTGCATCACTTGTTTCAATTGATATTCCATAACACAGAAGAATAGATGAAGGAAGCTATGCAGTCACAAACATTCACAAAGAACACTATACCTCCTACCATTAGATAAAACCCTGTTTTATGCCTAGAAGCAACTCTCAAGGAAAGCGGGGATGGTGCCCCTTCAATAGGGGTGCTCAAAACACTTTTCTGATAGACTTAGCAACCTATTTGCACCCTCATAATATCCCTTGCTAGCTACAGCTTATATTTCAGCTGATAGTTGTCCCATCTTAAAAACATCGGGAAAATCATAACTGCCAAGATACAGTGTTAACAGTGGAAGTGTGCCATGTTTCTAATGGGCATTAAGGAAGAATGGTTAATTGCCACTAATTCTCTGCACAAAAGAGAAACCCCAAATGAGTGATCTATATTATTGGGACCCACAGTTCCAAGATGTCTACAAAGCTAGGATATGAATAATGCTAGAAAACTGTGGCCTGCAGGCATACCCAGGCACTGATAGAACACAAAGCCTAAAAGAACTGCTAGAAGATTCTTTGGATTTTCTACTACTCAGAGCTGATCATGAAGGTTGAGATAAAATGTAACATGTGCTCAAGCAATAAATTAGGTAATAAATGTCTGGAACGCCGATTCGTTTGCATGGAAAATATACTTAAAAATAATAATTTTAACCATATATTTGGTTGTGCCACATTAAATCACTTTTTATTGTAAGTTGTGAACTAGGTTCTGTTTTGTTTCACTTAAATAGTTAATTAGTATTTGACCATAATGATGTTTCTACTGTACTGAATGATTATGTAATTATCACACAAAGAATTTATTTGAAAAATAAATGTGGAGTATATAATAATACTGCACTAAGAAAATAATTTTTAGCATAATTAGAGATACACAGCATGTTCTTCAAGTGCATCGGAGTACAAATTTATCTGACACACATACAAACTCCTATCTATATACATTTTAAGTGGAGCACAGAGAAAACATAAACATAAATTATATTTCCCTTAGAAATAAGTACACTATCACAAATAAAATTTTATTGTCATTATAAGGTCTGGTAGTGAAGCATTTGTTATAGTGCCAATAACCTAAAATATGAGTTTCTTAAGAACTTCAGTTGTAACTGAATTCAACAACTTTCAATACCATAACAAACTATTGCTCACTTACTGAAAATTAACAATACTTGATCCACACTAACAAAACAGTATTATTCATATCTTGAAAATGGCGAGGGTTAATAATGACTTTACCTACAAAATAATTTCATAGGAAACTCAGAGCTTTTTGAGAGCAATTTCCCCTCCAATTTCCCACAAATAAGCATTAATTTCTTAGCTATTATCTGTCACCAGGTCATGTCCAGCCTCCCAGTTCTCATTGTGACACCAGACCCTAACAACCTGGGGTTATAGGCAATTAATTCTCTACATATAAAGAACAACTCTCATCTCATGAAGTAGAAAACACTCATTTGTTACCTGTCAATCAAATAACAAAACAGAAAATGTACTTTGGGAGAAAAAAGAATGGAGAAAAATGGAAGGACATCCACATGATCAAGTCAAACTGGGAATTACTTTATGGAAGAACTGTAATTCCACTGTAAACATAGTTCTGTCCTTGAAAAATCTACCAAGGATGAATATGTTCAAAGTTCCTTCAATCATTTTGCAGAAGCAATTAGTTGAGAAAGGCAGCTAGAGCAATCCCTGAGTCCCCTCTGAAACAAATTTAAATCAGGGCCCAAAGATGTAAACAATACACTAAGACCATGTAGGCTTCCTTCTCAGACTGACAAAGGATGGGGAGAAAGGAATACTTCCCTTGGTCAATGGACTTTGAAGTTATTATTCAGAGTGCTTCTTGTTGTCTGGGACAGTCTCAGGACTGAATGGGCAACATAGGAGGCACAGCCTTTCATCCTTCCCATAAGAAAACTGCAGTTCAGCAAGATTAGCTGTATTGCCAAGACCCACCCAGCTAAAAACACCACAAAAGGGCTTAGAACCCAGAGCCATCTTCTTAACCACATCCCTTACAGACACATGTATAAGCATCTTTTTGACAGCTGCAGTTTCCTGTGGAGATTTCCTGGGTTCCGAATATACATGAAGAACTTTCTATGCAGCTATACCAAATATTCCAACAGAGCCTCTCTCCTCAGGAAGCTCAGGATGAACAAAGAGCTATTCACATTTCAATTACATTACATTTGTAAAGAAAACCTATAAAGGGGAACCACAGAAAAGAAAAAAAAGTTGCAAAATGTACTAAGGAGTTTGTCTTATGACCTTACTACATGAGGCAACCAAAAACAATATTTGAGGAAATATTTAAAAACACTACCTATTTCTGTGACTGTGTAAGGAAGATAAAAGTGAAAAACATCTTCAAGTCCTCCATATTCACAGTTAAAAACCAGGTAAGCAAACAGAAGGATCTATGAAAAATAATTGTGACTTCATGTGCTTGCCACAGTACCTGCCACACAGTAATGTTCAATAAATAGTTGATGAATGTACAATGCAAGAAAAATTTCATAAGGCAAATGCTTCATTTATAAATAATACTTGTTAGTGTGGGACTTTATAGTTTTATCAAGGCATTTTCACTTTATTTTTAAAAGTAAAAATTTCATTTTATTTTCTCAAAAAATGGAAGACAGGTAATCAACCCCTTTGTAAAGGGGAAAATGACAAGTCAGAGAAAGGAAAGAACAAGGCAAAAATTTGACCTCATTACGTCGGATTCTTAATCACTGGCAGAATATTCAAATTTTTATTTCAAACAAGAATGTATTCATCTTCTCTAAATAACCCTATCGGTGGAACATAATCTAAAGAAGAAAGTTCAGTATTGTGAATATGGAAATATGTGGATTTATATGCTAAGAAACATAGAAATTTCCAGATCTGAAGTCCTTTTGCTATGTTCTACCTCATTTTCTATGTTTAGAATATAATGATTACCATGTTAGTCATCAGGAATGACATGAAGATATTAAAAAAAAAAAGGGAGCCAGGCACCAGCTCCTACCTATAATCCTAGCTATTTGGGAGGCTGACCTTGCGATGACTGCAGCTCAAGGCCAGCCCTGGCAAATGGTTCAAGAGACCCCATCTCCAAAATAACACAAGCAAAATGGACTGGAGGTATGGCTCAAGTGATAGAGCACCTGCTTTGCAAGTGTGAAGTCCTGTATTCAAACCCAGCTCAGTCCCACCAATAAAACAAAACCAACAACGGGAGTCTTTTTGAGATGTGTTAGATCTTCAAAAGTCACTTTTCTGTGACTCCTCTACTCTGGAGTCAGACACACTCAAGGGCAAATCTCTATCATGCCACCTAGAATTTGAGAGGCTTTAGACAAGTTATTTCATTTCCCAATGACTTAGTATTCACACGTA